ACTACTAGTAAGGCACTTGTTACTAGTAGCGATGCACTTGTTACTACTAGGAACAAGAAGCTATTAGCTTCTTGTTTCTATTAGCTTCTTGTTACTACTAGTAAGGCACTTGTTACTAGTAGCGATGCACTTGTTCCTAGTAGCTTCTTGTTTCTATTAGCTTCTTGTTCCTAGTAGTAACAGGTGCCACTCTAGTAGTAACAGGTGCCTTACTGGTAGTAACAAGAAGCTATTAGAATTAAAATTAAAGTAAAATTTAATAGCTTCTTGTTACTACTAGTAAGGCACTTGTTACTAGTAGCGATGCACTTGTTCCTAGTAGCTTCTTGTTTCTATTAGCTTCTTGTTACTACTAGTAAGGCACTTGTTACTAGTAGCGATGCACTTGTTACTACTAGGAACAAGAACCTATTAGCTTATTGTTTCTATTAGCTTCTTGTTACTGGTAGTAAGGCACTTGTTACTAGTAGCGATGCACTTGTTCCTAGTAGCTTCTTGTTTCTATTAGCTTCTTGTTACTGGTAGTAAGGCACTTGTTACTAGTAGCGATGCACTTGTTACTACTAGGAACAAGAAGCTATTAGCTTCTTGTTTCTATTAGCTTCTTGTTACTACTAGTAAGGCACTTGTTACTAGTAGCGATGCACTTGTTCCTAGTAGCTTCTTGTTTCTATTAGCTTCTTGTTACTGGTAGTAAGGCCAGGAGCCCCTAGTAGCGTCCTTGCTCCTAGTAGCCTTTTGCTCCTACCACTCCCGTGTTGGGTATTTGGAACATGGTCATCCAAAACCGTGGCCATGATTATTTAAATGTCTCGTCATCCTCGTTAGACCAGCATGTTGCCAAGGGGCCACCGGAGAGATGACCACTTTCCAGCGCACAATTTGACCAGTAACAAGGTGCATCGCTACTAGTAACAAGAAGCTTCTAGTAACAAGGTGCATCGCTACTAGTAACAAGGTAAGTCTCTATACCAACTTCTCTCGGTCTTCTAGAAGCTTCCCTCAATTTCCAAGGGGTGTGCGGGGAACTTGGAGTTCTGACCTCAACTTCCTCTTTTCCAAGGTGGAAAATGGCCCGGATTGTTGGAAGCCCCATTGAAAGGCTCACGAATTGGCTCATTGGAATGCCATTGACAAGGACGCTACGAGGAGCAAGGACGCTTTGGTTGAAACTCTTCTCGGAGGTTTTCTTCCATCGATTCGTGCGGCCTTGCCACCAAAAGCACAGAATATCGAATGAAAGCCAGCGAGTTCTTTTGCATGCGTTTCTGGTCTAAGAAACGCGTCCGAGAAAAGAACTACAGTAATTACGCCATGGCCTGAAAGCACAATAGGAGTAAGTACTATAGGCTGACTATACGTAGGTATAAGGGATGTGCTCAAGGAGGAGAAAATAGTTAATTACACTGGTTAACCATATAATACCACCAAACTTGGGGATTGTGGTTACGCCAAACAAACGCTGTCGACATGCTTCCAGTCGCATTCGTGACGGAAACGACTCCATTCGTTTCTTGGTCGAGTCGAAACCACAGCAAACCCGGTTCAACGGGAGACTGGGTCCCCCGGCTTTTTCGAGTTCGTGCTGGTTGAAACCTAGGATGGAAAAGAGGACATGGCGTGAGTTTCAGGCTCTTCGTGGAAAACAGCTTCGAACGAATAAAACATGAGTGCACGACGGAACGTACATCGTTGCAAGAAAATCACTGTGCACGGCTTCCAATGTCCGCTCGGGCATAAAAAGTCATCCCAAGAGAAGCGATTTGATTATCTCAGGTTTGATCCGCTCCTGGAACCTGCGCGTTTGTCCGCTTTTTCGACCATCCTGGTTGAACCCAACAACTATATAGTACCTCAAAAAGATCGCTCACCTAAAGTTATTCAGCTTCTTGTTGCTAGTAAGGTGCCTTGTTCCTAGTCTGTTACTCGTAGCGATGCCAGGAGCCCTGTTCGTAGCGTCCGAACGCTCCGTTCGTAGCGATGGGAGCCAAAGCCGCGCCTTGTCCACCCAAAAGGATCGATCGTCCTGGCAAGAAAGTCGTGTTTCAGCGGCCTTCGTCCAGTGATTCACCGAACTGCTTTTTTGCATCCGGCCTAAAGAAAAATGGATCGGAATCGACCCTAATCGCAAGGAACCTAAGAGGAATGGCCTCCACCCTACTAGCGATGGCCTCCAAATCCTACTAGCGATGGCCATGGCCTCCAGATCCTACTAGCATGGCCTCCGAATCCTACTAGCGATGGCCTCCAACCTAGTAGCTTGCATATGGGTCCATAACTGGATCGATTTTGGATCCCTTCATCTGAGATGGTCCGGGTGATTCTGCTTGAACCTATGTTCTTCGTATAGATCATCCACAGAGGCAACTCCAAAAGGCACGCTTAAAGGAATCATAGACCTTCCTTTCTCTTTATGAGGGAGGCCTTGCTTTCTTTGTCTTTCTTTCATTCATAGACCTTCAAACAGCTTTAGACCCTTCTCTTTCTTCTGAGCGTTTCGCCTTCATCTCCCAGCGCGATCGCCGCGATTTCCCAAACGCACCTTCTGCGTGATGCGCAGGAGTGGGTCGCTCCCCATGGGCATTGACCTGCAGCGGGCGCCGCGGACACTCCAAAAAAGAGCGAAGAAGGTCTCTCCCTTGTTACTACTAGTAAGGCACTTGTTACTAGTAGCGATGCGCTTGTTACTAGTAGCTTCTCTCCCTTGGAAGTGTTGGGAGTCCTCCAGCCTAGAAGCGATGGCCGCCAACCTAGTTCTGCTGGGAACCTAACCTACTAGCGATGGCCTCCAACACGGAAGAAAGGGGCTTTAACGTTTTAACATGTTTTACCTCTAGATCTTGGCATTTTGCTCGTGTCTCCTTCTTGTGAAACAAGCAACCTGGGCCCATTTCCGTACCCCCACATTCCAGGATAATATATTGACAATTATTGACAATGCGGACAATGGCCTATTCTCGCTCAACTTGCATTCTGGGCTTTTCACACATTGTCTCGGAGCCACATCCAGGCGTGCCTCTCCAGCAGCATCCCATGTAAACCCTTCCGCGCATTCCAGGTCTCCGCGCATGTTGTCGCGGATCATCATCACCTCTGTGTCGTTTCGGACACAAACCTTGGCCCGTGGCTACAAGTCACCATCAAACACCCAGCTGTTTTGGGTGTGAAGCACGAAGATCAAACCCCTCTGGTGGGCCGTATTCTGCTTACAGCTTCATCTCAATCCAGCTCAAGAAGACAGACCTTGTTGGTGAAGAGGCGGTGTCGACACGTTGAGAAGACCGTGATCAACATCCAAACATTATCCAATCCTCACCACTCGGACGCTCTGAAAGAAGCCCAACTGCCTAAATCCATGTCCTTTTCACGTCCATTCCGTTCTGCTTTGTGAAAGAAAGCCGTCCATTCCGTCCCGTCCACCCCCGGGTTCTTCGGATCGTTCTCCGACGTTCGTGCCAGGGCGCCATGGGTTGCAAGACGGTGAAGGTCTTGGTGTGGAGGTGGTGCGCCTGGCGTCGATGCGGCACCGGTCGATGGGTCGAAGGAATGAACTCCGTTCGACTAGCAAAAAGAGATCCGACAGAATGGACTCGGAAGGTTTCAACAATTGGTTCATCACTTTGCTACAAAAGCCATGCCTTACATCTGCCCAACCAGCTGAGTTTCAGTCCGTGCTCGGACCGTCGGGTCGTCGAACACCCCGTGCTTCGTTCGATGTGTCGATATTAGACACCCCGTGCGCGTCCTCAAAGTCGAAGAGGTCATGCGAGTCTCTCGCCCAAGTGCTGGACACCACCTGGACGCTAGTAGTAGTCTGGTGCCTTACTAGTAGTAGAGGAAGGTGTCCAGAGCTCCGCTCTGCTCCGCTCTGCTCCGCTCTCAGCGGGAGGGAGGGAGCTAACCGGGGGGAGGGGTTGAGCCACAAAGAATGACGCTCAAGATCGGATGAACGCTGCCTGGAATGTCAACTAGTACAAGGGAATGTTCAAGTCCTTCCTTTTGATATGTGGATGATGGTGGACGATGCATGTTCCAAACGAATTAAAGAATGCAGCTGCCAATCTAAAGACACCTTGTTTTCACCATAGAAGCTTTCCTCCCAACCCGATGGAGCGACGTTTCACCCGCAGTCTCAGCCCAGAGAGAACATGGGACCAGGCCATATTGTGGATAGAGCGTTATCCCAAACAGGGGTCACGCAGGTTCTAGGGATACATAATGCCTGGCCATACTTCCTTTGCCACATTTGGTCACAACTACATAACCCCTGGCTTGTACTCCCTGTACGAATACCAGGCAGCATGATGACATGCATGCGAACACCCGGAAATCGCCTGCACTGCTTGCGGAAGAGGAGGAATCTGGCCGCTTTTTGGGGGTGCAAAGGGGAACACGCAGCTTCTCTTGGGCTGAATTGCAACTCCATGGCTTGCATAGGTTTGCATCAGGTGGAAGACTCGCCTTCGTCATGTGCCGTTCAGACCTTATCTGAAAAAGGGTCCAGCCGATCCTAGTCGTCCCAGCCGCAAAGGCGAAGTGTTGAAACGACTCACAATCCCCAGAAGCGAACCCTCGCAAACTTCAGAACACTCGAGGCACCAAAAGACAGAGAACCACCAACACCGACCTTTCTTCCGGCAGCCAAGGCAAGGGCCGCCGTAGCCGTGCCCCCGCCACCCGGCGGATTCTTGTAAAAGGTGTTTTGGTTTGAGAGGGAGAGGACACACCTTTGAAACGATCCAAACATGTCTGTCCGGAGTTGCGTGGGTGAAGAGACCACTACTGCTTAGCAGCAGCCCATTTCGTTTTGTAAAATCCAGAGACTTCCCAAGATGCTGAAATCTTTGGGCAAGCTCATGCAAATATCTAGGAACAAGAAGCTACTAGGTGGAGGCCATCGCTATTAGGTTGGAGGCCATCGCTACTAGGAACAAGAAGCTACTAGTAACAAGGGCATTGCACGACTAGTAGCTCATGCAAATATCTCAAAAACCTCACATCTCAAACCTCACATCACAAAGTCTCTACTGTCACCTCCCCAAGTCCGGCGTTGGCAAAAATGGAGACCACACCTCCACAGGATCCATGGAGACTCGTCCTGGGGTCGCACACGGCGGACGAGGCGGACGGTCCAAGGACAGAACTACATGGCGATTGGAGGAACCTGTTGGGCTGTGTCAACCAAAAGCACGAGGCTTCTTTCATCCACTGCGATGTCCAACAGCCCAGAAGACGACCGTCCCGTTGGGCTACCACTTCCCACCTGTGAGGCGTGTGGATCGGCGGGGCGGCCGCGGCGGAGCCGCAGCGCTGCTCTCGCGGAGCCGCCGCCCGTGGTTTTTGGAGGATCTGAAGTTGTTGAAGAGCTGCACTGAGCTGCATCCGGGTGTGCTGTGGTGTTTTATCCGGGATTTCTGAGCACATCTGGTCTCAAAATGCAAAGGATGGAGTAATTATCACTTTTCATTTTCAGGATCACTGTTGGAGTTCACTTTCCAGCTGACTTCATGAATGATTGAGGTTTCAAAGACTCTGTTTGGATCTAGAAAAGTGGAACAAGGTGCATGCGAAGTAGTTGTTGTGTCCAGGGATGCTATACCCAATCGAAACGGATCCCTCAGTGTCGGTCTCTGACCCGCCAAAGGTCGCAGCTCTGCTTTGGAGCAAAGCGCTGAGGGCTTGGGAGGGTGTCTTCAGCTCCTGTTCGATTTGTTGTTGTGGCCTACAAGGTCTGGTTGGGTGTCACTTCACGCGTTTGGTTGGGGTTTTGAAGAGGGAGCCGAACGTCATCCAGATTGATTGTTCCATGTCATCCATGTCGTCCATCGATCTGCTCATTCGCTGGATCTAGCCCCATCGCCAGTCGCTTGCGATTGGACGTAGCTGCAGCATAAACAGCGCGGAATCTGAAGCTGCAGAACCTGATGAAACTGTCAGAGGATTCTCTGTCTGTTTTGCATTATGATCCTGCATCATGCAAGTGATTCCATCAACCCAACATAACTCAACCCTTTTGGAGGCTAGTCTCCTTGTTACCTTTTGGGCCGCTGGTCTGTACGTGTCTCTCTCTCTCTCATTCATTTCAATTCGAAATCTATCAGTGTGGTATGTATGGCCCTACCACCACTTCCAACGTTTGCATCTTTGTACAGACCCCCTCAGTTTCCTTGCAAAACAAAGGTTCATCATTTTACACCTGTGGTTTTTAGCTTAAATGTTATCCAATCACAGGTTGGAGGCCATCGCCATTGGGTTGGAGGCCTTCGCCATGGCTATTGGGTTGGAGGCCTTCGCTAGTATCCACTTTCCCTTGGCAGGATGTGGCCAACATGGCTGAGGATTGTCCGTCAAACCGTGCGACGCGCCGGCCCAAGCGTTTCGGCCTTTTTTGTTTGTGCCAACGTCGAGCATAGCGGAGCGATAGCGGAGCTGCTCAACATGGGACGAACGCGGAGCTGCTTGGAACGTGTTTGGGAGGTGTCCCTGTTGAGGATTCATCGAGATGACTCGGCTTTCTTCCGAACCCCCCAAAATCATTCCAAAATCACTCAGCCGACTCGCCTTACATGAAGGGCCGCCCTTCATTTAAGGCAATCCTTGTGACAAAGACCCTGGAATTCATTCTTGGGGAGTCCATCGCTAGTAGGTTGGAGGCCATTGATTGCTATTAGGTTAATTCGTTCTTGGGGGACTTCGTTCTTCCCAGCCCACAAACGCCCCGATCCGATCACTTCTTCTTCCGCGCCATGTTGGCCAACTCCTCCGACGCAGCAGGGCCCACTTTGTTGTTCTTAATGGGATCAACCCCTAGCGTCCGATCGCTCCCAGTAGTAAGGCCAGGAGCCCCTAGTAGCGTCCTTGCTCCTACCTACCTAATGGGATCAACCCATCAGGGCCAAGGTTGCCAGCGAAACCTAGCGGTAAGGGGAGAAAGGGGCTAGGTTGGAGGCCATCGCTAGTAGGGTCGAGGCCATCGCTAGTAGGCTGGAGGCCATCGCTTATAGGGTGAAGGCCATTGCACCTTCCATGAAAATGTTGGCAATGCCCACAGGAGATGAGTCCAAGAGGGACATGGAACTAAACCGAAATCGAACAACATGTGATACCATCGCCGATTTCTGGCGCATTCTTCGGTCCTCCTGCTGCCGGGCCAACTTGACGCGCTCCTTCTGGATGTTGGGATCCTGCAGCATCTGGATCTACTTGCGATGGCCTCCAACCTACTTGCTCCTAGTAGCGATGCCAGGAGCCCCTAGTATAGCTTCTTGTTCCTAGTAGTAAGGCCAGGAGCCCCCAGTAGCGTCCTTGCTCCTAATTAATAGCGATGGCCTCCAACCTACCGTATTTGTGTATAACAGTTCAATCATGGGGAACACCAACCCCTACAAATGACAAGCTGCAGGCGGCGGCCAGGTCTTGATCTTCAGCATTCGCAGAGCAACCTGCGGTGTCCGACGGTCCTGCTTGATCTTCAGCTTCTTGAACTTTTGCAACTTCTTGGAATCTTGCGGAATACAATAGCTCAACTTCCGCCTCGGCATGTGTTGAGAAGTGCACATGTCGTTCTGTGAAGTTGCACAACTGAAACGAGCCAAAGCTGAACAAAAAAAACCGAGTGTTCATGACATGTTGTTGCATGGGTTCAAAGTCCACACCATGCGACTCTACCTGGGTGTGCATTTGAATTTAATTTGAATAGGGAGACACCCTGACTCTGGCTGGGTAGCCGGGTCAAGGTTCTTTCTTCCTTCGCAGGGGGGGCCGTTGCCCACCTGGGAGGTCTTTGGTTTCGCTACACCGAGAATGAACCGCCTACCCGCCGACATCATCGAGACCTTGAAACGTCGCCCCCTGGGTGTTGCACAGCGCTGAAGCGCCATTCTTCTCAGAGTCAATGCCCTTGTCCTGCTAGATGCACAAGGCCGGACTGGAGCGGCCCCGTCACGGGGCAAACGGGCCAGGCTGCTGATGTGTGTCTTCTCTAATGAATTTTTAACTTTCATCTGATGTGTGTGTCCTAGTAGCTTCTTGTTCCAATTCTAACAAAACTTTAAATTAAGTCTATAATTCTATTTCTTTTCTAATAGCTTCTTGTTACTAGTAGTATGGCCAGGAGCCCTAGTAGCGTCCGAACGCTCCTAGTAGCGATGCCCTTTGCTCCTAGTAGCGTCCTTATAACTAAGTGGTTTCTGGGCTCAAGCCTATCGTGAAACAGTAACAGCTTCAAACTAAACTCAAGACGAGCACCTCCCTTTGACTCGAACACTCCACAAAACATGGATTCTCAAAAGGGGGTAACACTACTTTCTTCGGGTAGCTTCGGATGCCTTTTGGTTTTTTCAAGGGAATCTCCTTCACACTTGGTTCCCCACCATGGTTGCTGTGCAAATTGGCAAACCAACAACACCAACCACCAAAACCACGCCGGGAAGCTGTCCGTCCGTCCTTCCAGTTGCTCTTCTTGAGCCGCACCGGTCGGTTACCCACATAGCGGCCGTTCACATCACGCAATGCGGCGACCATGTCCTGGCACCGATGCGAAAAAAAACACGAGCGCCATGCGCAGGGAGGAGGGGAGGATGAGGGGCAACTGACAACGCATTCGATTCAAAGAAAGCACGCGTCCTCCGTTGCGCAACTAGCCAAGGTTTTTAATCATTGCACCATTAGATTGATTCACAAACTTTGGTGGCTCAAGAAAAGACTTAAGCACGCAGCACGAACATACCGGAACCTGGTTCTCAAAGGCATCGCGCCAGACTCATTCGTTCAGTGGTGCTACACACAGAGTGGATTAGCTTACCTTGCTGGAAATATCCCATGAGATGCAATCAACGTCAGTAGTTACTGGGGAGCAAGCTGTAGTCTCTGCAGGGTCAGTGCACCCTGCAATCGGTACAGATTTCCTGTAGCATACGTATTTTATTGAATGTCTGTGACCTACTCTGACAAGATCAACAACTGGCTGTGGGTGAAAACCAGGGGACCTTGCTTGACCACCAAAACTGATCAGAATAGACGACGAGACATAGTCAAACCACCGGGGCGAACCGGGCTTTAGGTTTGGACTCACAGCTGATTGACTGATTCGGCTGAGCACGGGAGCTTCCTTGCAGCGTGAGCTATCCTGCGTCCACTTACTAGAAGCGTACTTGCTCCTAGTAGTAAGGCCAGGAGCTCCTAGTAGCGATGCCCTTGCTCCTAGTAGCTTCTTGCTCCTAGTAGCGATGCCCTTAGCCCATACTCAATTGAGTAGGTAGTCTCTACTTATACTGTGTACAAGTGTCTTCGGATTTGTCGGTTGGCAGGCGGCCTACTAGGTTGGAGGCCATTGCTAATGGGTTGTCTCTGCGCGTCTCCTCGGGTGCGCTGAAGGAGACGAAGCCATAGCCTTTGGTCTTTCCGGTTCGCTTGTCTCGGATCACCTCCAGAGCAGGGTGCGATGTGAACAAACGCATCGGCGTGGCGAAGGAAGGAGTCAACGAGGCGACACATCGACATGAGCATTGAAAGGCCTTTCTTCAAACTAGCAGCAACAAGAAGCTATTAGTAACAAGTGCCACGCTAGTAGGAACAAGTGCCTTACTAGTAGTAACAAGAAGCTATTAGTTAATTTAATAGACGTTTTCTTGGACGCTATGCTCGGTGGCCATCGCAAGTAGGTTGGAGGCCATCGCTACTAGGAAGGACGCAACAGACTGCAACAGATCCTTTCCAACGGTTGAAGAAAACCACGAGAACTCAGCGGTCAAGTTCCATCTTTGCAAAAGCAGCCCCTCTCTGATTCCGTGCAAAAGCAGCCCCTGAGCCGTCAAACGGGACCCATACACATTTGGCACCGTCGAATGAGAATCTACTCGCAGTCCGTGCCTTGGCCTTCTGGAAGGAACTGTATTTTCGGAAGGCGTTCGCCAACCTTGGTTATTACCATGCTCACATTTCTTGTGCCAGAAGGAATCATGTTGTACTCTGGAGTTGGACAGGTTCGACCACTAGGACCGCCTGAGTAGTAGATGGAAAGTCCGCAACTTGGACTTGGCGAAAAATAACGCAAAGAAACACACGGATTTTCCAAAAAAAAAGAGAGACTCGTCAGAGGTACAGCTCAACTCTGCCGATGTCCGGCTGGGGCCCAAGGCAAATCGTCCGTGACCTCGTTACCCAAATCTCCGCAAAAGAGCCTTCCGTTCACCGCTCGCTTCAACGTGGGCCATGCAGCTCACCGCAGAATGTGAGGTGTGTCTCACACTAGGGGGAAATCTGCAATGGTAATGACCTCCAACCTAAGAGCAATGGCCTCCACCGTACTCGCGTGTCTCAAACTAGGGGGAAAGCTCCAAGCATGCCATTTTTTCCATATTCTTTTTTGTATACAGAGAGGTAGGAAGCGCTATCGCTGAA